GGTGTTCCACCAACTATCCAAATGACAGATTCCTCACATTACTGTTATTCACAAAAGGGTCTTATGAAAAGAATCGACTGCTGGAAAAGTCTTTGGTTTATAAACTCTGAAGTGTCAAATCCCACACTTCCTAAAAGATTTTAGCCTTTCTTACTCCTAACCAGAGTCTTTCCTACAGAAACAAGAAAAGACAAGAGGAAGTTTCGGGCTTTTCCAGCAGCCTTCTACAGCATTTCTGTAGCTTTCCATTTTTGAAAGGTGAGAATTATTATTTTATATATTTTGTGTCCACCTTATTACTAAACATAAAAAGTAATCCCTCCATTTGCCGTAGGGCCTTTCAACAAGAACTATAGCAACTTACATTTGTATAGATCTCTTCCTAGAGGGGCCGAATGGCCTACTCCTGCTCCTAATTCTTTTGTTCTTATGACTTATGTTCACATGGGGCAGTGTCTTGGAGAGCTTGATGTTGGGAGAATGTCTATAAAGGCTTTGCATGATTTACTGTTAAATGTAGTGACTGTTTTGTACACAAATGTGGCGGCCAGTTTGCATACAGCAATGGCCCACAAAGAGCCATAAAATGAATGACCAATTTATCCAAGAAATGCACACACGCATGTCTGCATTGTACAAAAAGGGGAACAATAAATCAGACAAATATAAACAAACCATGCAGGAAATCTTTGTCCACCACCTATTGAGAAAAGAGCATTAATTGGAAAAATAGGGGGCTACGTAACTTTCTGTCACTTCACAATTGCAACTGATTTTGCCAATAATGAAATCCGATTTCACATAGTGTTGCAGTTTTAAAAGTTTTACTTTAAAAACTTTTTTTTAAAACGCTTGCTAAGATTCCTTTGGGCTTAACACATATTCACAAGAGAGTTTTGAATGAAGAAGACCCTTTGGTCCATTTAATCTTATCCTCCCAGAATACTAACCCTCCTTTCTTGTCATTGCAATGTCAAGTTGCTTCTTAAATGAGTCCAATGTCCTTTCAATCTTCCCGATAATTTGTTCCAGGGGCTGATTTACATGCTAAAGAAAGCAAACACAGAACTATATTTTCAGATGTCAGAGGTGCTGTGCTTCAGATAAGATGATTGGATAAGGTCATGTCTGCCTGTTCAACAACAACAACTTGAATTTATATAGCACCCCTCAGGCGGAGGATGTTCAAGTGGATATTAAAGATACCATGGAACTATTCGAAAGGAGAAGGGAGTTTATCTCTGTGTCCTGGCCAACAATATCCCAGATTAAATTGGACATTCTAAATATGATAATATTAATATCTAACTATTATAAATAAATGTTATTTATATTATATTATACATACAAAATAAAATATAATCCTATGATTCCATAGCGGGATTGGTTTGGGAAGCTCTTTTCAAAGAGCCGGCACAGACCCGATGGGCCGAATGGCCTCTTTCTGCGTTGTATAATTCTATGATTATGAATATGATAAAATTCAGGTAAACATGGCTGTTTGTGGGACATTGCTGCGTGCAAATTGGCTGTCGCATTCACCCACAAAATATACAGTCACTGCACTTCACAGTGTATCCAAATGGAGCACTTTGAGACACAGTCCGGTGTGAAAATCGCTACCAATAATGTAGGGATTGTTATTTATTTTGCAGCGTATAATGTGTGCCACAGAGATACCAGGACGGGTCTAACCACACAAGAGGGCGCTGTGAGCCAAAGGCAATCTGTTCAAATGCAGCACTTGTCCTCTATTTGCTGTGCTCCTGGGCTGCAAAACAGTGTGTGCATCTCCCAAACCTCACAGCCACTTTTATCACGATCGTATTCAAAGGGTCAACTCCATCAGAAACAACATATACATTTGTTTTTATAAATGGCATTTGTTTTTTTATAAATGGCATTTGTTTTTTCGTGTGCATTGCTCGAGATCTGGACCGTTGCCAGAAATTGATGGCCATGGTGTGGGGAACATTGCATCTCGTGGCTTCTCCAGTGAACTTAAGAGCTGAATAAACTTCCAGGCGAGTGGCAGAGTTTTGAAGGTTCGTGTCGAAATTGGAAAGCATTAAAAAAGGAGAAGCGAAACCGGCCCCAGAACCACAATCTCGTGGCTTTATTGGCACATTTCATACGTTGCACTTGACTTTTCTTTTATGTGATTTTATTTCACAAGGTGTGATTTCCTGCATTTTACAAGTTGCAGGTTTCGCGGAGTGGAGGGATTTGCAGTGGGGGGTGGGGGGTGTGTGAGGGGGGGATTGTATAGTCTGCTGTTGAGTCCTCACCGTCTACAGCTGATATGAGCGACTTATAACCCTGATCGATCCTATTGGTGACTGAAAACAAGAGGAGAAGACATTGTAGGAAAGATTGCAACACTTTGAACCCCCTCCTCCCCCCCCCCACCACCACCACACACACACACACACACACACACACCACCACTCTGGTCTTGCCAACCCCCTTTCGGCCAGTGACGTGTTGGAAGGGCAACACTTTAAATGAGGAAAGTGAAGCTGCTTTGTAACTCAACACATTTCACAACACAGACAGACCCACTCTCACTCTCTCTCACACACTCACTGACTCTCACTCTCTCTCACTGACTCTCACTCTCTCTCACTGACTCTCACTCACTCTCACTGACTCTCACACTCACTCACTGACTCTCTCACTCACTCTCACTCACTGACTCTCACACTCACTCTCACTGACTCTCACCCTCACTCACTCTCTCTCTCTCACCCTCACTCACTCTCTCACTCACTCTCACTCACTGACTCTCACCCTCACTCACTCTCTCACCCTCACTCACTCACTCACTCACTCTCACTCACTGACTCTCACCCTCACTCACTCACTCACTCTCTCACTCACTGACTCTCACCCTCACTCACTCTCTCACCCTCACTCACTCACTCACTCACTCCCTGACCCACTCTCACTCACAGACACAAAGCAGCCACACACACACACACACACTGACCGACCGAGTGAGTGAGTGAGTGAGTGAGTGAGTGAGTTCGGCGTCCTCTCTGAGTCACAAGCCCACAGTCTCAGGAGGAGGGGAAGGAAATGCTCGTCTTGTAGCCACAGCCTCATGGTGTGAAAGTCTTGCCGACTCCAAGGGTCAGAAAGCTGGTCGGGGCTTTCACTGTCTCTCCCTCCCTCCCTCCCTCTCTCCCTCCCTCCCTCCTCCCTCTCCCTCTCCCCCTCTCCCTGGGATTTTGACCACTTCCACCCAGACTGACCAGCGGCTGCAGCGCAGATCCAGTCCGAGGTAAGATGGAAGCGGGAGGGCAGAGAGTTGGGAGACTTTTGAAAAAGAGTCCCTTCAGAGATCCGAGTCGCTTTTGCTGCTGTTCCGACACAAGGCGCAGCGCTCAACCCGACCCGTCGGCGCTTCGCTTCTCACCCCGTGTGTGTGTGTGTCTGTGTGTGTGAGAGAGAGACACAGAGAGAAAGTAGATGACAGCGTTGCAAACGTGGTTAGTGTTTTGAGTTACTTGTGTGTGTGTGTGTGTGGGGGGGGGGGGGGGGAGGGGGGGAGTGTGAAACATTTTAAAAAGCGATCCGATTGAGAGGGAGAGCTTGAGATCGCCTCTGCACTAAACCCGGAGCAGAGAGACACCACAGCAGATGCCGGTAACAAAGAGACAGAGAGAGAGAGACCTGTCCCTCAGTGCCTCAGTGCCTCAGTGGAGATGCTCCTCACTGGGGGCCGCGGCCGTGGGCTCCTGTGAACGTGAGGAAGGACAATAGAGTTGGGTGGTGTTGATGCTCATCACTCCGCTGCCACGTGTTTGCATCTCTTCAATCGCTGGGGGGCGAGAGCACAGGGCAGCACAGGGCAGGGCAGGGCAGGGCATCACAGGGCAGGGCAGGGCATCACAGGGCAGGGCAGCACAGGGCATCACAGGGCAGGGCAGCACAGGGCAGGGCAGCACAGGGCAGGGCAGGGCATCACAGGGCAGCACAGGGCAGGGCATCACAGGGCAGGGCATCACAGGGCAGCACAGGGCAGGGCAGCACAGGGCATCACAGGGCAGGGCAGCACAGGGCAGGGCATCACAGGGCAGCACAGGGCAGGGCATCACAGGGCAGCACAGGGCAGGGCATGGCATCGCAGGGCAGGGCATCACAGGGCAGCACAGGGCAGGGCATCACAGGGCAGGGCATCACAGGGCAGGGCATCACAGGGCAGCACAGGGCAGGGCATCACAGGGCAGGGCAGCACAGGGCAGCACAGGGCGGGCGGTGCTGCTATTCTTTCGGGATGTTTGTACCGCGCACTTGCAATGGAAGGGGTGGAGGGGTCAGATGCACACAGCCCCCCCCCTCCCCCCCTCCAGCATGTACCTCTGCCCTCCAAACCGCAAGTGGTGTCAGAGCCCCCCCCCCCCCCCCCGTGTCTGCCTCTGACCGGTATGTCGGTGCTGGTTAATGTCAGTGGTGTGTGTATGTGTGTGTGTGTGTGGGGGTGGGGGGGGGATTACCAGGTGATGGTGGTGGAAAACAATCTCAACAGATACTTCCAAGCTCTGCCTCTTACTATTGAGGGCGCCATAGCCCAACATGTGTCTGTGACTGGGGTGGGGGGGGGGGGGGGGAGAAAGTGAGGACTTCACAACAACATGTCCCCACCCCACCCCACCCCACCCCCGGCTCCTGCTGCTGCTCCACAGAGAGCGGCTCCTGTCCGGGCGGCTGCCACAGTGAGACACCCATCTCTGTCTGGGCTGCAGGAGGCTCATACAGGGCGGGGATGAGGGCAGTGCATAATAATAATAATAATAATCCTTGCATTTGATATAGCGCTTTTCACGTCGGAAAGACGTCCCAAAGCGCTTCACAGAACACACTGTAAAGTGAATTGACTGCATATTTGTGGGCGAACGCGGCAGCCAATTGCGCACAGCAATGTCCCACAAACAGTCGTAGATTGAATATGACCAATTTATTATTGTTTTTTTTGGAGGGATTATTATTAGGCGGGTGGAGTAAGGAAACTTGCCCAAGGTTTCGCCCTGCCTGGAATGATGATAGCTGGATGGCTGGATGCTTTTATTTGGGGGAAGGAAGGATGTTCCTTAGAGAAAACGACAAGGTAATGGCTATATTGGGGGCACAAATTTACTCTGGGTCACGATTTCTTCTGATTTATTAGCATTTCAGATCATCCGGAATTTGGTAAGATTGTCAAATTCAGTCCCACTTGAAAGCTAATGTTTCTTTGTTTTTTTTGTTATTTCTATTATTTCTTATTTATTTTTATTTTATTTATTTCTATTATTTATTATTATTTATTTTAACTGAAGACTGTTTCGAAGTATGGGCCATATTTTGAGACGATCTGAAGAACTGAGAAAAATGAGTAAAAACTACAATGGAATTTCTACCCAATGTAGTCATGTATACACCCACTCAGACCCCGGGTCGTTCTCTCTCTGGGTCAACCTTCTTCAAATTAGATGATTATTTGGGGAGAGCACGTTTGCAGAGCTATGGGGAGAGCGCGGGGGAGTGGGATTGATTTGGATAGCTCTTGGATAGTCAAATGGCCTCCTTCTGTGTTGCATAATTGGTCCTGTAGCTCAGTGGTTAAAGCACTTGCCTTGCTAGCGAGAGACCTGGTTCGATTTCCAGCAGGGCGAAACTTTGGGCAAGTTTCCTTACTTCACACGCCTGATAGTAATCCCTCAAGAAAAAAATAATAAATTGGTCACTTGAATCCACAACTATTTGTGGGACACTGCCTTGCACGTTTCGCCCACAATTATAGTCAATTCACTTTACAGTATATTCTGCGAAGCGCTTTGAGATGTCTAGAAGATGTGAAAAGTCGCTATATCAAATGCAAGGATTATTATTATAATTCTATGAATCTATGAAATCATTCAGAAAGAACCTAACCTCATGCACTCTCCTCTCCCGCACAGTAGAACTGCACAAGGTCATTACACTACAGATGAAACAAACACTACAAACACCCCCCACCCAACACACACACACACAAATAATCCTCCCCCCCCCCACACAGATACAAATAATCCTCCCCCCCCTCCTCCACACCCGCACACATAATCATCTACACACACATACACACACACATAACCTACCTACACATACAAAGGGGATAAATTTGCAACATTTCATAACATCATATCAGTACTGTTATGAAATGTCACAAATGAATCCGCAAAGCAATACACTGTTGTACACGCATTAATGCACCCCCTCAACACAACACCCACTGACAGCACACACCAGTTCTATACATGTACAGTGCTATAGACTGCCCCTATTTACAGTCACACATATACACAAATGAGACTATCCCTTTTCAGTTAATACACCCAACACAATGGCTTACAGTTGTAAACTAGGCGCACGTTTACTTTTTCAACTGTAGAAATAGTAGATAGGCATGGGCACTCTGTCACCGTGATTTCCCAGTGCCCAGGGTCACGTACAATGGTTAGAAAGTAAATGTTATTTACTCGCAGCTATCCTATGTTATTATCAGTGACTCTCTGTGTCTAGTACAACACCGCGATCGCTGTGAGTGAAGTCTGAAGATGTTTCCCCTGCAGCAATATAAGAAAGGTCCATTCATTTATACACAGCACTTTGGCTGCCAGGCTTCTCAAGACAAGATTGCTGCTAAACACACACATGACACAACTTGACCTTGACTGTGTCAGGGAGTTGGACTGTGTCAGTGGTTTGGACTGTGTCAGGGGGTTGGACTGTGTCAGGGGTTTGGACTGTGTCAGGGGTTTGGACTGTGTCAGGGGTTTGGACTGTGTCAGGGAGTTGGACTGTGTCAGGGGTTTGGACTGTGTCAGGGAGTTTGACTGTGTCGGGGGTTTGGACTGTGTCAGGGAGTTGGACTGTGTCAGGGGTTTGGACTGTGTCAGGGGTTTGGACTGTGTCAGGGAGTTTGACTGTGTCGGGGGTTTGGACTGTGTCAGGGAGTTGGACTGTGTCAGGGAGTTGGACTGTGTCAGGGAGTTGGACTGTGTCAGGGGTTTGGACTGTGTCAGGGAGTTGGACTGTGTCAGGGAGTGGGACTGTGTCAGGGGTTTGGACTGTGTCAGCGAGTTTGACTGTGTCGGGGGTTTGGACTGTGTCGGGGGTTTGGACTGTGTCAGGGGTTTGGACTGTTTCAGGGAGTGGGACTGTGTCAGGTGTTTGGACTGTGTCAGGGAGTGGGACTGTGTCAGGTGTTTGAACTGTGTCAGGGAGTTGGATTGTGTCAGGGAGTTGGACTTAAACCTGCTGGTTTATAAAGATTCTGCATTGATTTTCAAATCAACTTTTCCCCCTTCAAAGCGGTTCAGCACAATCGCATTTGATTCCCAATATCTGATGTATTTATCTTCCCCCAAAAACAGGGGGATCGAGGGATCGATCTGATTTGTATCATTTTATCCTTAAAACACATTTCCCATTCGTGCCATTTCTCATCTGATCATAAACCGGATCCTGTCACACAGCACTTGCCAGGGATCAGGTGTGTGTTTTGGGGTTAAAAACAACAAATGACATTTGTTAGTTGTTTTTTTAAAAAATCTCGCCTTATCTTTTTAACACCTTATCCTTTTAAACATCTTATCTATATGAACTATTTTTTTTAAAAATCGTATTTTTCCCCTGCAGACAATGCTACCTTTTAACCAATTTCCGACCCCCTTGCCAGCATCAGAGATAGAGAGAAAAGAGTTTTATTACTCCAATTGGGATCGCATTTGAGTCAATGTGGTGATGATTTTCAGCCCATTGCTGTAACAACACAGCAATGCCTGAGCACTGGGTGTGATGAGAGAGAGGAGGGGAGAGAGAAAAGGAAGACTACTTTCAGTTCAGAGACAGTCCAACTTACACAATCTTGCAATAAGCTAAGGATAGCTTAGCCACCGAGATTCCCAGATTCTTATCATCAGCTGGTGCAGTTTGCATCCGCTAACAGGAGGCTTGTTTTCACATGCACAAAAACTGGTTCCTGCCTGTGAGTGGGAGCTCATTCAAACTAGTGTAGTACACATTGGAGGGGATGGGGGAGAGGAAGCGATCGGGGGATTTCCTCCTACTACAGTAAGTAGATATTAATATAACCGCCTAGAGAGAGCCCTAGTCAAACGGCCAGATGTGCTTAATCTAATCCATCGCTATACATAGCTCTGCCCATCCTGACATAAATATGGATTAAACGCTGTCATTGCGTTTCCAACTCCAGAGAGATGATCACCTGAAGCCACTTTCTATCGCTTTTCTCACTTTTTTTTGAGCTTTAAATACAAGTTTGAGGATTGCACATGAGGCGTCTTTCTGATTCCGAGTCCACTACGGTGCGCTTGCTCCTAGCGGCCCGGGAACTGGAGCGTGTCCACAGGTACAGCAGCAAACTTGTCCTCCCACCCTCCTCCCTCCCTCACAGCCTGGCCTGAGACTGAACGCAGCTTGTGGTTTGGGCTGTGCCACGGTTTGGATGTAAACGCGCTGCGGATGGTAACTGGATCGAGGTGGATTTCAAAGTTCAAAGTTAAACTGGGTTCAGGTTCTGCACTAGCCAACACCCGGTGTACACTGATGTGTGCCAAGTGCGTGTGTTATTTTCCATCCCATTTGTCTAGATGTAGCCAATTTACCGATGTTTTTAAAAACTTATCTTGGAAAGTCTGGTATTTTTACCCAAGGGAATGAAATAACCCCTTTGTGTTCAAGTACACTTGCAATCTCTGCTGAAGGTCAGGGACCTGACACAGATCTGAGGCTAAATTAAGGTGATATCACATGTACTATGCCCAAACCACTCATATGTAAAGGTCGAGATATTTAATAATAATACTTGCATTTTATACAGTGCCTTATCACGTTGTTGAGACGTCTCAAAGCGCTTCACAGAGTATACTGCAAAATAGATTGACTGTGTATTTTGTGGGCGAAATACTATTGAATTAATGCTGCACCATGAAAGTTACTCTGCTCACAGTTCTGAATTTAGCTATTTCAGACCTCAAGGATTCAAAAGTGATGGTGGAAGGAGAGGCGTGAGAAAGAGAGGAAGGGGAACAGGTTGGATATCCGCAGGAAACTGGGTTGGGAATTTGGCAGAGGAACACAAAAGCGATTCACACGTGGCAAAATAGACCTAGACATACATAAACTAGAAGGAAGTAAAAACTTAAATGCAATAGTGTTTTACTACTCTCATAGGTGTATTGCAGATGCTCTCACTGTTTTGCCTAGACCTGCCTGGGTATGAGTTTAAAATTTGATTATTAAATTGTACTTCAGTAAAAAAAAGAGCAGTGTAGAAATACTGGTTCCTATTTTCATTTCCTGATGAAATAATTTAAATTAGCATATGCACACAGGCAGGATAATATTTGGTATTTGCAGTGGAGGAGCAGAAAGGAAAAGGTACATTCTTGAAATGATAATTACACTATATGATGGAATTAACGTTCTGTTTCAGGATTTTTAAAGATATTGCCTCTCCTGTCTTGGGTAGGCTTGAAAGCTGGTGATGTATATTTACAGAATATACTGTAAAATGAATTGACGTATTTGTTAAGCAGATGGATGGGCTATTGTTATTGTGAGTTAATTCTTACTGTATAAGTACTGTGCGAGTAATTCTTACTTTACTATCCAAGTCATTTGAGACATGATATATGGTAAGCGTAATATGCTTGGAAGAACCAGGCAACTTTGGGTCTAAAGTTCTTAAAGCTTTCCACACTGTTGTAGACTAATCCATACAGAATTAATTACTGTCAAAATTTCCATTTTTCTAGTTTGCCTTCTACTAGATGGATGGGCTGTAAAAAAACAATTGGTCATTTCAGTCCACGACTGTTTGTGGGACACTGCTGTGCGCCATTGGATGCCGCATTTCGCCCACAAATATACAGTCAATTCACTTTACAGTCATTCTGTGAAGCGCTTTGAGACATTCTAAAAGATGTGAAAAGCGCTATATCAAATGCAAGGATTCTTATTATTACTAGGATGGTAGAAGGTGAACTAGATTGACCTTGGTCTTTTTTCGTCTAGCAATTCCTATGTTCCTTTAATGAGGAAAATTTTTTAAAAATCCAT